GAGAATAATGCAATAGCAAGCACTCACGACAAAGTAAATGATATTAAACAATATATTGAAAGATATAAAACAATCTTATGATAATATCTACAGGAAATTAATATATATAATGTAAATAAGAGCGTGAAAGTAGAGATCACAATGAGCAAATGATACAAGGCTGTGTAAAAGAATTAAAATAGACTGAATTTAAAAAGTAAGGGAAATAATGTTTCATGTCACTCATATTAGCAAAGATCCAAATTTAGATGCAGTTTAATTGTTGCTGGATGTTCATCCACTATTTGCATTATCATAGATCAACTCTATCATTATCATCTGCCGACACAAAACGAAACGACTGCACACTAAGTCGAGTGTGAATGTATGTGCTCACATGACAATTACATTTTTCGAAATTTGTACGTTAGTGTTCAAACTTGGGTGATCAGTTCTTGGTAGGTAAGCACTTGGGCAGGTTGCCTCGACGAGTGCCACCGTATGGCGTGTCTTTTAAAGAGTTCACGTCAAATCCGAAGAATGCGAGTGCAAGTCTATACGCGAGAGAAAATTATTGTTACATAGTTTACTGACGCCGATATAAAACAAAAACCATCTAGATATGCGAAGCATATTTGCTGGAGTAGTAACATTGTACACTTCGGGGTCGATGCATTGGACAACGTTTGGAATTAAATAGTTGGCTTACCAGAATTATCTCGGGTACTTCGCCGATTGCTAATTGATATCTCTTGCCTTCATATCCTCTCTCTACACCACATCGCTAGATAACTATACCAGAAACGCTAAAACACGCCAGCTTCACTATCAGATTCGGGTATTTTCCACACCTTCTAGACTGTGTTCGTCTTTTCGAAAAAATGTCGTTGATTTAAAAAGCCGTCAATAAACGGTAACTGTGTGTGCAGAGTTATTTTAAATCACTACACTACAATTACGTAAATCATGGCTTAGTTTCCAAGTATGTTATTTTTGTACCAGAATCCTTTTTCACTCACTATATTCGCAAGACTTAAAATAATTTGAGCAACGATCCTCGAACTAAAATATTGCACGTTTGCTCTCAGGTTCAGTGACTTAACTGAAGAAAATCGAACTTTTCCCTTACAAGGAAACCATAGTAGGTACTAAAACGTCTAATTGTGTGCCTGCATTTCCTATTTGGCTTAGAATTAGCGTTGTATTAGTAAAAGATTGTGCTAATACGTTAACAAAAACTTCTACTGCAACCTTTGAACGGACAATGTTTGAAAATGTCAATAACAAACTAGTGGTGGTCCAATAGCACATGCTTTCTCGCTTTATTAATAACTGCTACGCAATGCCATAAAATTACATGAACCTGCAAAGGTAGGTTGCAAACCTAAAACCAGCAAAGTTGTGGTGAGGCGCTAGAAATATTGTACTAGCGAAAGGAGGAGATATGTAGTAATAAGTCGGTAGAATTTCGAAAGCAAAAATAAATAAGCTTTTTTTTGTAGGTGTGCTCAAATTTGAATCCATCTAAGTGAAGCATAGTGTTAAAACAATTTTTTTAACAGTTCAAATTTTGGGAAATACCTTCAAGAATTTGTGTTACCACAGAGACACATACCCCTGTCAGAGTTTCATGTGGACGTAGTCAAATTTCACCTTGCAGAGAACAGTAAAGACACTTTTTCACAAACTTGTTGAATCGCGACTGGAGATAGCGCGGGCGGAGGCGAACCGACGGCTGACGTCGAGCCCTTTGCTGTCAGTGTGTTCTCAAACACGTTTTTTTTTTGGGCTCTGTTTATGTTCTTCGAAGTAATATCGATTTTAGCCCTTTTCAAGAAAGTTGATTTTTGCATTTTCGTCCAGCTAGCGGTGAGAAATTTATCAGTGTGCAGCGGTTGTTCGCGTCCCGTTGCATACGAATCGCTACACCCTAGGACATGACGTTTCAAGAGGAGCATGGACTCCGAAATTAAATTCGGTGATATTGTTTACCTGGCGAGCCCTGAAGGAATTCTGAAAGGTGTACACAATGAAACAAGATATAGAACTGCTATTGATTTAGTGTGCAGTTCAGTGTGATAATACTTACTCCAGTAGTTTTGAAAGTGGGTTGACGGAAGCAAAGTGCCTTAGAGGTCGTTCAAGAAATACATAAAGGCTTTGGGGTGTAGGCAGGAAATGGAACGAACTTATACGAGAGAGAGAGGGAACGAACTTATATGGGAGAGAAGAGAATAATCCAACTTTTTTTTTTCTGAACATTTTCTCATTTTCCCGGTGCTCTCATAGTTAAATTCAAATGAGGCTTTCAAATAAAGATTTTTCCTTTTTGTAAGAATACAACACAATTGATACAATGAATTCTATGGCAAGAAGTCATTTTCATTTAAACGTTCGGATTTAAAAAAAAGAGATTTATAAGTTTTCCAACTTCTCGTTTGGTGACGAGTTTTAAAGTGAGAGAAGGGATGATGTTGAAATATTATACTATAATTATGTAATATTACGGAAAGAAAGACCATGGACTGTTGTAGCGCCACTAGTTTTAAAGGTGCCTAGTGCATGTATACGAGTTGTAACACACGAGCACGATTTCTTATGGTCCGGAAGACATCCTTATACTACTAGAACTATAAATACTTATTAAGGAAACTAATTTAATATGGACATCATAATGAAACGAGTATCGATTTCACTGCACAAGGTTTTAGCCGAGTGCATAGATTCAAGTGCTCAAATTATATCCCAGGATAAATTAAAAACAAAAAACTTTTACCATTGTGAGATGTTTTCTAGATCTCAATTCTTCAAAAGATTTGCGTAAAATGTTAATTTTTTATGAATATTTCAAAACATTCCTACCACAACCGAAGAGTGTCGTCAGATTTCTCATAAAATTTTTCTTTTCAATTTATTTCCTGTAATCTCTACTCTATGAATTTGTACAAAGCAAACTGAACGGGAGTATCAGGAATAGCAGTCTAATATTAAAGTACTCATATGGAACGTGGAAAACAATGTTTTGAGAGAAAAAAAATCTCGTGCACTCATGGTTCGAGCAAAACCGTGTCATGCTCTTAACATTCTACTTAGAACAATTAACTGTATCAGCAGTTGCTCAGGCGAGGCGTAATCGTGTTCATTGGGAGGGGTGCGCACGTCAGACTGCCCCTATCGGGCCGCCCTCCTCCGTGAAGTGCACTGATTAGATTCACAAAATTCACAGGCTGAGCGTTTCCTATAGACATTTTACCAACGCTCGCCTCGCGTTTATTTATCAGTAAGTTCTTTTGATCGAATTAAATCCGCCGTCATTTATTGCGGACACTAAAACGTAAAAGAAATCGCGTTCCCATTTTTTTAAATCATTGTTTAACACACAAGCCACAACAAAATTCATAGTTCTGTCACCACAGTGACAAGTTTCAAAATTCGAAAAGCTTCTCGAAAATAATTTAATTCTTATCAAGCCAAGGTATTCTGATCGCGGTTCCCTACCAATCACCATTGCCAATTTTATTTGTGTGAAAGTGTATTTGAATCTTTTTATAGTGTTTTCGTGTTAAGAATTACAACTCTCTCCCGACAATTAGATGATTGATATGGATAGGAATTTTAAGTCTATGACCGTTATGCATGGAAAGGCAGCGTTTTGGACGCTACCGCCTGGGTGGGTGAGTGGTTCGCGTTTCGGGCACTCCACCTCCAGAGGTGCGTGGATTTCCAAAGGCGGAAAATCCACAGTGGACGTGTCGTACTTTCGGATTTTAAAAGCGCTGTGGCTAAGGTCCTGGCAAAATTAAATCCGGCGACAATTCCCGTCCTAATCTGATTCCATACTCGCTTAACCGGGGAACGCCCGAAGTAATGCACGAAATATTGCCGATACCATTGTTATGGCACTTATTGGTGGCTAATATGGGAGTCAAAATTTACATGCAACGCTGAGAACCTGCAGGGTATCATCTAATGAAATTCTCAGCTATTAAAGTCTATGTCGGAGATGGGCATATGGAAAAAAAGCTTTAGTGTTCGGATATTACAAACAAACAATTTTCCTTTACAGATTCAAATTTAGCTGGGAGCGAACTTCTCCTCGGTATCCAAGTAAAAAGTTTTCTCAATATCATGTTTAGGGGAGAAGTAGATTGATTGCAACATTATTTTGGCTACCTTTGTGCTAATGACAATACAAGATCTGACAGCACCTACATAAGTATGCCTGGTATCTGTAATCAGACCGTCAAAAATGTGCGTGGCCTTTTTGGGGAAATGTAGTAGAATCAAATTAAAATTCATTGCAAGTGAATTACTGCCGAATTGGGAAACCGTAAAATTTTCTGGTTTATTCCCAATATTCAGAGCTACGAAGAACTCCAAATGCATAGAATAGCAAAATTTCACAAAATTATCCTAATATTTCTATTTGATTAATTTTAATTAAAATAATTATTAATTTTACATTAATATTTTGTCATTGTCTACTTCACATTGTCACCTTACATTAATATTGATTACAAAAAATATATTAGATACAAAAATGGCCGATACAGTGCTTATTATTCTACAGGGCGGTGGATCACTAATGTGACAGCTACGTCATCTCATGTTTGTCAAGCCCCTGATTAACATGTACTATGAATACGAGTAGGGAGAAGCAGAGGCTTGTGCACTGGAGGTCAGGGCCCCTGAAAAATATGAAACGGGCACCGAAGCCTTACATTACAATAAAACCAGCCATTAATTTGTATTCTATATCTGATTTTCCCCTTTCAGCCTGGTAGTTTCGGAAAATGTTATACGAACTTTGGAGAAGATGCTGTTCACGTAATCGGACAACTGAGTAAACGCTTTAACATCAAATCAATGGTGTTTCTTTAAAATAAATTTTAATGGCCAAAGAGGCCCGAAATGTAGTTGCCCCCCTCTTGTTTTAGGCTGCGCGCGCCTTCGGTCCGAGGCAGAGCTGACGTGGCCGGAGTAACGCGAGGTGTAAGCTAGTTGCGCGTGCGTGTGTGCAGCTTCTCCGGCGGCGAGGTGCGCGAGGTGCGGCACGCCTTCAACGTGGCGCGCCTCGACCGGGGGCTGCCCGACGCCGAGGTGCCCGGCTTCTCGGACGTGGCGGCGGCACTGGCCGACGACTTCCGCCGCTTGGCGGCGCTGCTGCTGCGCGCGCTCGCCACGGGCCTCGGTGGGTGCCGCTGCGCGAGCCCTGCGCCTGCCCTTCCCCTCACCCCACTCGCACCACACCCCCGACACTTGGTCCCCACTCGCACCACACCCCCGACACTTGGTCCCCACTCGCACCACACCCCCACTTCGTCCCCACTCTACCCCACCAGCACTCTACTCGAACCCCTCTTGCATCCCACGTCACTAGCGCCCGACTTGCACCAGAACCTCTGCCGGCACGCTGCGAACCAGCTGCTACTCATGCCATCTACTCACAATTCACTCATTGTATTTTTCAAGACTAGAAATTTAAACATAAACGCCAAAAGCTTGATGCCATGTTATTTACCTCAGTCATTCACATTAGTGAACGTGATCGTAAACCTTGACATGAACACAAAAAAGGACGTATCTGTGAAAGTTCGCAAACTGCAAGCTTTCACATTCACGTTAACGTGATCCGAGAACAACCCATTATCAGATCCATAGACATTTCGTAGTATAGAAACGTGAAAACTGTATTGTTGGCAGAAACTAATTCAGTTTACAAAAGCATCAATTAAAGAAAAGCATCAAAGTTCGCCACGCATTGGAGCATTAACCGTTTAACCACTGTAATAACTGTTGTGCTCTAGAACGCAATGATGTAACTGTAGTGCACAGCGTCTGATTTGCGAGTTCGTGGTGTGTGTTTCTGGGGACTAAAAAAATATTTCTCTAATGTAGAAAGTATACAATATAACAAAAGGTAAACATTTCAGAACTTAAGTGAATCTTTTTTAATCAAATACAATGCATAGTATTGTTCTTTACTCTCTAACGAATAGGATTAGGTTTTTTCAAATTAACATTTGATGTCAATTATGATCATCGTTTCAAATTTTCTCACCAAATGTCCAAAAATTCCACGGACTTTTGGGTTGTTTCAATGAATTACTCTTTCAGGATTTACCTCTACTGCATATTTAAGAACTAATAGGTTATGTCTGGTGCAATTACCAAATATGAGGTGCAAATGATCTTATTCTTTGTGGAATCCCGATGAACACTCCACTCATTGCGGCAGCTACACCAAATCTTTAATGCTGGTTAGTTGTATCTAGGTCTCTTCCGTAAAAGATTTCATAATTTGTTCTTGAAGTCTAAAAGGTATCGACTATTTTATGTTGTAAAAGAACTAAACTTGACAGCGCTGAATTCACGAACGAATATTTCTCGAATACGTCTGAATACGAGCCTTGGTCGGGCTGTTGTCAGCCGACTGCCGAAAACGCAAACAGTCACACGACGCACCTGTGAATCCTCCCTCGCTCAATCCACTGTTGTTGATATACTTTTCTTTTCTTTTCTTTACAGAAAAGAATAGCCTTAAACATTAGCTTGACAAGTAATTTGTTACAAACTTTTTACTACTGGACAACTTCAAAATATTTTTGAACTGGAATCCCTCTTTAATCAGGGGTCAGTGGGGGGTTTGAACTTTGAGGCCCTGGTGCACAGCGTATCTATGCCCGTGACTGTAGACTCGCAGTTACAAGTACGTATTAGGTGCATATTATCATCACTTCAGTGAAGTGTTGCCACGGATTTCACAAATTGATAACGTTATTCTGAATTAGTTGGCAAAAGCCAAGTCTACATCTTCAATGTAACGTAAGAGTCTGTGACGTACCTCCTGATGATAAAATCCACTGCTATCTAATCGTCTTACGCTGTTAGTTCACCCCAAACATAAACAAATGTCCATGTTGAAAGCGAAGTGATTACATGGAATGTTTTTGCGCATTTCTCTAGTGAGTGACAACAAAGAGGAAATATTAATTTATTTGAAATAATAAGGTATAAACAGGAAAAAAAGCGGTTTTACAGAGGTAGCCGTTTTGGATAACTTATTTTATGGCTCATTAACTTATGGTAATGTCTTTGCTCGCATTTCTTTGGCTTACTGCTCACTGTATTTGACGAAGTATTCTGCGACGCATCAGATAGCATTGATTTTGAGTGATTCATTATCTCTTCAGAAAAAAGTATATCGATATCGGTTCGTGATTCACACCCAGAAAAGAATGCAAGATAAAGAAAACAGATGGCAACATCCGCTAGTTTTCCTCTTTTGTCCAAGTGTGAATATCTTCATTTGCTATCTCTGTTTCCTTTGTTTAAAGAAATTCAAACATTTCAAATGTTATGCTCTTTCGTTGTGAAAAGATAATTGACATTATTCTACAACTGCTAAATAAAATAATGAATCGCAAGGACTGATGAAAATATTACGTAATTATTAAACTTACAAGTGTCGTTTTCAAATCTCAAATATTTGAAAACGACACTTTTTGTTTATTCCCAGATTAATGCAAAAGCTGTAATAAGAAGCTCTTCTAATTTATCTAAATAAAACATTCCCATGTTATCAAAAAAGCTGAAACTATCATACGTGTTGGATTTCATCAGAAATAATTCTTTAATTACGAAATAAACTAAGTTTCAATTGTTTTTTGACATTTGAGTTTCACCATGAAATAATTAATAGATTCAATAATTTTTTTGTACGCTTACTATGTTAACTGACTACATTTACTGAACACAAATAAGCAGTAGATTTAAATTGCTCCCCTAACACCATGCATTTTGTAATGTTCACTCACTTTGTATTTTAGAGTCGCTACTTATTTAGTTGCATCATTGAATTCATAGTGAGCTATTGAAATATCAAATAATGTTATTTTTTCAAAAAAAAAACAAAACACTACTGTAATTTCTAAAAGGCAGCAATGATGTCACCCACTTTTTCAGATTAATGTTGTCTTCTATGAGATTGACTAGACCCTCGCTTAAGTAAGTGCGTACTTTATGTTTCAAGAACTTTGACCGATACAAATATCATAATTATCGCATGTTAGTGTTGGAATTACGCTCTATCGCCACTTCTTTCTCAACATTGATTTCGCGATTAGATTGCAAATATGGTAATGTAGAAAGTTAATTCTTCTGATAAAGCATGCCACATTTGACATTCCTCGCGTCCTACAAACTGATCCTTATTTATGATTATAAGTGCACAAGGCCACGCAGAGCCCATGGAGATAGTATCCAGTCAATAAAAGAAACTCAGAGCAATAGCAATGAAGTGGTCCCACAGCCCTGTTCTCTCGCCTTTAGAGTAACTAGCCTGGTCCACTGAAGCTGTTAAAAGACGGCAATTCCCAGACACTAATACAATTCGGGTTGCCATTTAGGAACGGTGCCATGGCCAATCCCGGAGTTCTTCGTGCATTCTTGACTCATTCATCCCCCGTGAGCTAATGGGTTGCCTGAGCCAACCTTCAAACCAACTGGATAGCCGTTACGGTCTATTTCTACATCTATTCTGCATATGAGACTTGTCTTAAGCGGTCCCTATCGGTACCTGAAAAAATATGTTCCTTAGTTGAGTTGAACGCTTAAGAGAGTATTGGAAGCGGACACAGTAGTAATGCTATTTGTAATGCATTTCGATCCACTTGCAGTATTCGCTTACGTAAACAAATGTTGTCCACCAACAGCATATCCTTTTTGGCATGCGCGCACATAAAAAATCGTGTGAAAATCATAAAATTATCCACTTTTGCTGTTTTCTGATGCAATTCACTGTTTCGTCCCACTCATACACTTAATCCATACCTTATAATTGTCAAGAACTTGTGATCGTTAAATTAGGTTAATCTAAAAATGACTTGGCCTTTTCGTGTTATAGTGTTTAAAAGTTGAAGAGCAACAGCTACTATTTTCATCCGTCCTATTTTACAACTGCCCTGAAAGTAAACTGCTCGAGGAATACAAAGTAACAGGCAGAGTGTGGCTACTCTATCAGAAATGTCTGCATTACATTAATTAAATATACTACGTTAATTATCAGCAACGCACATGAAATTTAATGTACATTAGGATGCAACAGTCAAAACGTTATCCCATCTGGAAGGAATGAATTGGTGATTGATGAGTGATGAATTGAAGGACTGGTAATTATGAACATATGATATGAATGATGAGAAGCAGAGAATATCTGAGAACCTCTTCATTAAATCTTTGCTTAATATATTTGTACATTAAATTGAATGCTTGAATCACAATCAGAAATTTTTATTGCTGAGGTGCCTTAGGTTTCATTTGAGATTCCCTCCATGCCATTTCTGACATGCGTTGTCCAGTGCGCCTGCCGAAGCGCACGCGGGTTGCAGCGCGACGTGTGCGTGTTGCAGGGCTGCAGGGCGACTACTTCCTGCGCTCGCACGCGCGCATGATGCAGTCGGGCAACGCCACGTGCATGCGCACGCTCTACTACCCGCCGCTGGGCGCGGAGCCCACGGCGGGGCTGACGCGCTGCGGCGAGCACGCCGACTACGGCACCTTCACGCTGCTGGCGCAAGACTGCGAGGGCGGCCTCGAGGTAAGCGCGCTCTCGGCGCCCGCGGGGGGTGCTACCGGCTCACGCCAGCTACTGTGTCCTGGGGATCGAGTCCCGTGGGGGGGGGGGCAGATTTTTAATATTTACTAGGCTGTTTTTAATATTTACTAATGGCGGCTGAAACGTCGGCACCTTCGCCATGGACGCGGCGTCACCCGGACAGCCAAGTAAATACTGACTCCGGCCGCGGAAGCCTACGCTCTCACCGGATTTTTAATGTCTCACTAGAGAACCAAGTCGAATTCTAGCAGTCGGCTGCTCTGATCGGTAAGTTTCCTGCTTTCTTCAATCAATATCCGACGAATGCCGTAGCAGTACCCTAAAAACGAACCAAAATCCACGCGGCATTTTCCCTCCGTCCTTGCCCCCCTTCCTCCCCCCCTTCCTCCTTACATCCACCGCGCTATTTTGCATTTCACTACTACTCGTGTCGGGAGCTTTGAATCTCGGGAATTATTGTCAAGCATTACTCACTGAAAAACGTTTGTTATGATTAGAGCGCGGATGTTCTGCAATTTATTTGACCTAAAATTGGCATGCAAAAAGTCATTTATTATGGTTAATTAGGGATAAATAATACATACCAAATTTGAGAGAAGCATTAAAAATTGAGTGGTCAAAATGATTCTGTACTATAGTAAGAACACTAAAAGACATGAAGAGAAAATCACGATGTATTAGTTTTAGTTTAACAAATAATAATGAATATTTTAACGTCTATTATAATGTTTACTTTATTGTATGTTAACAAAGCTGGACACGGGAGTTTTTGAAAAACACCCGAAATCGGGTCGAAACGTAATTATATCACTAAATAAATTGTGATAAAAAATTAGTCTAAGATCAAAACCATTACAATATAATATTAGGCCATTTTAAGATATTCCATAATTAATTGTTATATTAATATATTCTGTAAAATATCTTATTATTCATTTATTTCTACAAAATAGAGGGTATTAATAAGCCGGAAATCATGCTCTAAATTAAGTGGAGTGCCATAAGTTAACACGTAACGCATTCCTACACATTACTATTGATCACTAAACATAGGATACTATCGATTATAAATATAAATAATATTTATTCGAATTGTAAAGTGTGCAAAAAAGAAAGCCTTGTAATTTTTATAACAGAATAATTAGTTTTGTGAAGTAAATATGATTTAAATGTTCTCCCTGTGGAAACGAAATCCCGCAAATACATTTCACTAGCGGAAACGGGAGACGTTATCACCCTCTCCCCAGCCTCTCTCACCCTCTCCCCAGTCTCTCCGACCCTCTCTCCCTGTCCCGTGTGAAACACCACGTAGATGTGGCAACTTACATGGAGATTGGTCACACGATGTTGGAGTTTACTGTTCCTATAAAATATAAGTCAATGGCTTGGTGAGAAAGTAACGTGGGCACCACCTCAGCCAAAAATCCGTTCTTAAAAATAATTTTAAATAATATTTATTCCTGATTTTCTGAGAACTAGAGGAAAAAGGCCGAAAATAAAATTCAACAGCAATATATATATATATATATATATAT